AGGAGGTCCCCAAAACGTGACCTGCCACTGCAGCCAGGCACAGACAGTCGTCCCTGCAGCACAACCCTGTGCTTCACCTCTCTCTGTCACACTCTCCAGGCTCTGTCCTCTTCCTAACAGGACTCTGTCACTGCTTCGAGTAGAGGCACTTGCTTTATTAAAGACCTTTGGAAAACTACGATATCGGTAACAGGAAATAAATAAATTTTGCATTCAATTAAAAACTGTTATTAACACTGAAGTATGCCGAGGAAGTCCCGCAAAGGTTCTTCATGTTTCAGAGGCTTTCATTTTTCACGTTAATGAAGAGGTCTGCAGCATGCTCTGATTAAAAATTAAAATAATTAAAAGACCCAGGGCTTTTCATATGTCCTTGGTACTGCTGTCCGAAGGGCTGCCAGGCAGCAGCCCCAGGCACAGAGCCCTGGGCATCAAGGATGGCACGTGGGAGGTCAGACCCGACTTTCTTCCTCTTCCACCGCCCGGTGAAGGCCTGGGATGAATTTCAAAAGATGCTTTCGGACACTGGATCTCCTGCTTTTCCGTGGAAGGGTCCCAAAACTGCTGCTGAAGCTGCTGCCCTCCCAGAGCGGGGACATGGATCCACTGCTGGCCAGGCTGATGCTGCGGTTCCTCCGCAAGGACAACCTCCCGGCAACGCCGTCCCCATCCCTGGGGAAGAACAAGTCCTCGTCCACACTCAGGCTCTCTGCTGCTGAATCCTCGAAGGCACCACTCGGGCAGAAGCTGTCCTCGCTGTCCACTGTCATGGAGCTCAGCCGGCTGCGGGAGCTGCTCTCGCTGGAGAAGCGGGGCTTCACTGGGAAGAGGGGTCCGGCTGCGCCGCAGCTGCCGGGCACGTTGGGCTCCTCCAGCTCCAGTGTGCTCAGCAGGGTGTTGTCGTTCACCTCTCCTGGAAGGAGAAGTCAAAGGGGAGTGCTATTTAATGGAGAGCAGGATCATCTACAGTACATCACACAGGAATGCGTCCAGGCGGGTTTGAAAGTCTCCAGAGCAGGAGACTCCACAACCTCTCTGGGCAGCCTGGGCCAGGGCTCCAGCACCCGTGCAGGAAAAAAGTTTTTCCTGACATTTCTGTGGAACCTCCTATGTTCTAGCTTGTACCCATTGCCCCTTGTCCTGTCATTGGACGTCACTGAGAAGAGCCTGGCTCTGTCCCCCTGACACTCTCCCTTGACGTATTTATAAACATTAATGAGGTCACCCCTCAGCATCCTCTTCTCCAAGCTAAAGAGACCCAACTCCTTCAGGCTTTCCTCATAAGGGAGATGTTCCACTCCCTTCATCATCTCTGTGGCTGGGCGGGGGTCCCTCCAGCAGC